ATACCATTTCTCATTTACCAAATAAGACCTGTGTATACTTACATCTTGTCTTTTCTGACCAACATGATGTGGGTGTCGGATTAAACAGGTACCACTGTATAATTATGATTTTTTTTTCACTTTATGGCCCTTTGGCAACGTTCACATAATTGGAGGGGAACTGGACTGGGTTGATCTAAGGTGAACAGGTAGATCTTTTGGTCATAGAATCCATCTATAAGTTTAAAGGTTTCGTGTCCAAATCCCAGTCTCCAATTGCGTTTTTCCCATCCAGTTGTAAAATTATATGAAAAATAGCATACATGGAACATATTTCTCACAAGCTGTCTTAGGAAAGAGGTAATTAGAGTAACAGATAAGTTTGAGTAACATATTACTTTGAGTAACCTATTATGAATAACATATCATTTTGAGTAACAGATTATTTGAGTAACGGATTATTTGAGTAACATTTTTTTTGTCTCAATTCCAGATTGGACAAGGTGTACAGGAAGTGATGAGACTGTATACCATACATAAGCTCTCCTCCTATGGAGATAATTTTGACAAAGACAATATTCTGAGTATTACTTGTACTCCGAGTAAAAAGGGAGGGCAACCCCGACCATTCTTGAACTCCAGTGCTAAGGTAGGCTTGAAACCATCTCTGTTGTATTATGAGACATGACTTTTATCTTAATGACATATGACACATTTTTTTTCTTCATGTAGTATGAGACATGACTTTTATCTTAATGACATTTGACTCTTATCTTAATGACATATGACACATTTTTTGTCTTCATGTAATATGCGACATGACTTTCATCTTAATGACATATGACACATGACTCTTATATTAATCTTTTAAAAAACGTTTTGCTAAGTAATTCCAAAATGGTGCATGAGATTCTACAGTACAATATTGGTCTTTAAATAAGTTACGTATCTTTACAGAAATTTACACGTTGCTAAATTTTATTTATACAAAGTATTTTTGGTGGAAAAGGTCTTTACTCATGTGTTCCTATTTCAGCATCTTCAGAGCATTGTGAGTGACAACCCAGAGAGGTTTGGCCTCTCTAGTTTTCACAAAAAGCGACTATGGTTTGTGTGTCAATGTCATGCAGCCTGCCAATCTCCAAGTACATGTGGCAATCTCACAGAAATCCCAAAACTGGTTTTTAGTGGTAATCCCAGGTTGTTGACAAGTCTGAAGCTTCCAGGTAACCGCCTCACTTCAATCCCTCCTGACACCTTCATCAACCTCCATCATCTCACAAAACTAGACCTAAGCAACAACTACATTGATGTTCTCCCAGAATCCATAGGACAATGTAAGAACCTGTTCTTTATCACTGTGGAGAAAAACAACCTAGTGGATCTACCAGCCAGCCTGGCCAACTGTAGTCAGGTCAAGCAGGTACATATCAGTAGCAACAGGATGCAAATGCTGCCCCCTGTGCTAGTAAAAATGAAGGGGATAAAACATCTATTTGCCTGTAACATGATGCTGACAAGTCTACCAGAGGACATTGGAGACATGCCTAACTTGATGTTTTTGTTACTGAAAGGAAACTGCTTAACAAGTCTCCCAAAGAGCTTTGGTAATTTGCAAAGTCTGACAACCTTAGCAGTTACAGGTGTGAAGTGGATACAGAACCAAGCCAAGCACTTCCTCTCCAAGTCTCACTTCCTCAAGTTCCTGGAGGAAAAAAGCATCAAGAGATGGATTGATGCTCAGCCAGAGGTAAAGTCTGTCCTTCAAGTATATAAGATCATTAGATAAAAATATTGGTGAAT